CTGATGCTCAGGTTACTGCACAGTTCTCTCCTTTTCCATCTGGGTGGTAAGCAATATTATTGTGGGTGAAAACTGGGTTTTACCACACTGTTTCAATGGTACTATTGCATCTAAAATTTATGTTGTTGATATTAATTTGGATGGGGACAATATCTATTGGCTTGATCACTCTAACCCTAATGCCAAGAAGTTTCTAGCACAATTTTTCGCCAATTACCCTACTGTGCAGTGGCACAATCTCATCTGGCACAAAAAAATTTGTTTGAGGTACTCGGCTTATGCCTGGATGGCTTCAAAAAATGGGTTAAAAACAACTGATGTTCTAATTACTCGTGGCATCCCTATTGAAAACATTTGTTGTTTCTGTCGGGAAGAGCAAGAGAATATTGGGCACTTATATTTTGAATGCCATTTCACTTTTAATATCATAAAACACTTCTTGCCCTGGCTGGGCAACCGTTTGATGAAACCAAACCTTTTCTAGGCTCTGGACAGTGTGTTAAATCAAGGTTTTTGGCAAATCCTGTGTGAACTACCACCTTTTAACTGCTTGTGCTACTATTTACTTCATTTGGAGAGCTAAGAATGACAGAATTGTTGGTGGCATTGTAGACTGTTCTGCCACTGTTATTGCCAAGATCAAATATGCTATCATGCGTAAAACCTAACTGAAGGATATCTGTCAAATTTCATTTTTGTGGTCTGTTAATCGATAGGACGATGATGAATGTTGTATTTATAGCTGCCCTTTGGACGGTCTTCCCTGGCAACCAAAGGCACCGCTCTTGTGCTGACCCTTCCGAGATCTTATATTATTTAGCCAAGAGCAACCTGTGTCCTCCTTAGCTTTTGGTAAGCTTGCTGTATTTTTGACCCTTTGGGTTTTTTTCTTCTTCTTCATTTTTGAGTCTTGAATTCTCTTTTTGTTGTTGAGAATTCAGACTATAGTTTTTTATTTCACTTGTAATTTTCTTTTTATCAATGATATGGGCTATGCCCCAAATATTAAAAATATATATATATTAAAAAAATTTTTAAAAATATATATATTAAAAAAAATTTAAAAAAAAAAAAGTAAGAGAAGCCTCACAGCGGAATAAGAGGAGAAACCATAAACCCGGTAGGGTTTTAAAAAAGCCATATATCCGACGCCCGAATCCAATCTCCGTCTACCCTGACCAAACGTAAACCCTCCAAACCCTAACACTGTCGCTCAGCTGAGTTCACTTCACCGGCGGCGGCGCGCTATGCGTTTCCTCCCATCAGCATACACTGCCGGTGCCTTTTCTCTCTTCCTTATCTCTCGCCGCTTTCTTTCCTCCTCAACCACCACCAGCTCCTCCTCTCGAAAGCTCAAAAACCTCCATTACCGCAACCGCACTCGAGCCCTCGCCGAAGCCAAGCTCGCACTCACTGAATACCTTCATGCCACTCGTGCCCTTCCCTTCACTCTTGCCGATCACATCGCTTCCAACTCTCCCATTTCTCTCTCTACCTTCGTTTCCCAAATACCTTTCAACAACGCGATTCCTTCCGACTTCCCTCGCATACTCCGCAGTTTCTTCGCTTACCGTCCCGTCAACGAGTTCGACTTCTTCTTCGAAAGTATCGGCCTTTTCCCCTCCCACCCTTCACTTCCTTCTGGTACTCCACTCTTCCTTTCCGAAGACGCGCGACTTCTTGCCGCCGTCTCATCTCTGCTTCGGTTTGGCTTCCCTTGGACTCTCCTAGGCTTACTTTACCTTGATTCACCGTCCATTTTCTCTTCTCCGCCCGGCCACCTTCTCCATCGCCTTCAGCGTTTTGAGGCCCTCGGATTCACTCGCGTATGCGTCATCGCCATATGCCTCACTTTCCCGTCTACCCTTTCTGCGGCGGAAGAAGATGTAGAGACCGAACGTCTCTTTCGGGACCTTAAAATTGTGTTTGTCGACTACGGCCTTGACGGCTGCGCTGGAGATGATGTGGAGCTGCTCCTTCGCTTCTGCAGGAGGATTCGCATGTTCTATGATATATGTTCAGGGAAGGGGTTTATGGGGGAGCTTATGGGCCGGAGCAAGAGGATCTTTGTGGAGATCGAGGAGTCCGTTCTTGCTCAAAGGTTGAGATTTTTCTTGAAACTGGGCATGAGAAGGGAGCAGATAGGAGCTTTTACTCTGAAGAATGTGGAAATTTTTTATCTTGATCTGGACAATCCAGAGATTTTGATTCCAGATTATCTAGTGCGTGTGGGATTGAGCAAAGAGGAAACTGATTCTCTCATGGAGAGACACCCCTATGTGATGGGGAAGAACAAGTTAGGGAACTTGCCGGGAATAATGCGAGCTTTGGACCTTGATAAGTGGTTTTGCACCAAAATTGTTGATGAAAGGAATATACACTTCCTCTCCCCTTCATATGCTTATGTTGATTCATGTGATAACGAATTGGAAACTGAGTTCATGTATGCTTTAAAGAGGATAAAATTGGTAAAACAACACCAGTTTGTTGAAGTCAAGGTAGATTTTTTTCTTAGTATTGGATTTGGGAAAAATAAAATGACAAGTAAGGCTATTGGGCTTGTTAGTGGCAACAAGGAACTGTTGCAAGAGCGGTTTGATTGCCTTATTGGGATGGGAATTAAGTATGATATGCTCTGTAGAATGATCATTGCCGCACCAAAGATACTTAACCAGTGTGAAAACATGCTTCATCAGAAGGTGAACTACCTATGCCAGGACTTGGGCTACCCTATAGAGTATCTTAATAGTTTTCCTGCATTCTTATCTTTTGATCTGGAGAACAGGATCAAACTCAGATATAAGATCTTAAATTGGCTTAGAGATAATGGACTTGTGAAAAAGCCTTTTGCCCCTGCCACTGTTCTTGCGAATTCGGAGAAAAGGTTCATATTTAACCTTTCATGTATTCACCCAGCAGCTCCTAAGCAATGGTTGGAATGCTTTTCCTCTCATAATGATCGCAATGCAGTTATTGAGACCAGTTAGATCATCCAATACTTTTTATTCTCCTTCAGTATTCAAATGAAGATTGGCTACATGTCAATAAACTAAGGAAGATAGTGAAGCTGAAAGTAAATTTCAGAAGCAAGGAAACTGAAACAGGTTGCTGAATGTGACGGCAAGCATCTATACTGATATTTTATTCAGAAAAGAAGAGAGCTTGGGTGGGCTTACCATTGCAGTCTTCCTTTGCTTGACTAGTTTAATTTTTTGACTTGAGGTTGAGCCTATGCTTGAGTTGTTTCTCTGTCTCAGTAAGGTGTTTCTTACACTGACCTTTGTGGTATTATCCTTTAATCATGAGCTGTTACTTCATTCTTTGATTTGTAAAATGAATATAATTGTTAATTATAACTGATATCAGTTGTTTGCAGAAGGTTTTACTTCGTTTTTCTTCTTGCTTCATTCCGTAATATAACTGAAATTGCCTATTGTCACTGATATGAAGTGCTAGCAAAAAGATTTTGTATTGAGAGAACACATGTTTTACAAACGATGCAGTGGAGACATAAACCATGTTGGTACCCAGTTTAAAAATAAGGATGTTTTAAGGTTATAATAATTATAGAAAAAATCATGCTTATGAGTCATTACGTAAAGATGTGGATTTTGAAAATAAAATTTAAAAACTTATGAATTAAATCGAATGAATCTATTTTGTTAAACATAAGTAGAGAACTCATGAAATGTTAAGAATAAAGAAATAACATTCATATAGTTTTCATTGACCTTAGGAAGACATAGTATCAATTCTTTCAAGAATTCATTTGTTGGCCATATTGTTCAAAGTTATTGAGATTTTAATGTCATATGTCCAATTATGTGTTTTGTTCAACCTTGTTATATTTAATGTCTAGATGTATGTTTGATTCTTCAATCTTAGTTTATTGAGCTTTTGATGCTAAAGTTCTTTGTGAAAGGCTATTATAACTGAGAGACAAGGTGAAACAATATATATGTATTTTAAATGTGAATCTACAAGTAATGACCTATATATACCTCAAGGACATAAGTGCAACCTTAATCAATCCATATGTTATTTTAAACTAAGCACGGTTTTTAGAAAATTTACAAGCAGGCAAAATTGTCCTTTAAGCGGGCGACTTATGCCGAGTAGGCATTGCTGAATCAACAAGTTGTTATTAGAAGAAAATTAAATTTTACATAAGTTGCCCATGTAATTGGCGACTTATGTAAGTCGTTCGATTAATGGGCAACTTACACTATAAACTATTTTTTTTAAATGAAAGAAATTGTTATTTTTATTAAAAATTAATAATACAAATATTTTATTAAAGATTAGATATTATATAAGTAGTGAGAATTAATAGGGGACTGAGTTTGTAAATGAATGTTACATTACAATTAATATGGTGAATGTTTGTTGTGCCCAATTGTAATGAGCCATGATAGATGATTAGTGATTATTATTATGCTATTATAAAGCCATAATATATTGTTATTGATTTCATTAGTATTTTAGATAGTTAGTGCCATATAGGTTAGAATTTGTGCAGAGTCATAAATGATGACATTGGATGTTGAAGTAGTTGTGACATGTATGATTTAAGAAATGTAACTTGAGCTGTAAAATTGTGTTGTTCCATTAGTAGGTCTTGTCAGCGTCATATGTATTATTTTGAAATTATATTTATTTTTTTTCCAAGTTATTGTATTTTTTTAAATTTAAGTTTTTTTACTAAAAAATGTTTCATTTGAGTATAAAATATGTAGTGCAAGGCTCTCCCTAGACTTAAGTTAGTTTGAAGAAATTTTTGCAACTCCTACAGTACTTCGCAATGTATTCGTCGGTTATGAATTTGATTCGAACAACTCCCACGAAACAGATGATTCAAGAGGGAAGCAGTCGTTTGAAAGAAAGTTTGGTGCTATGTATTGATGACATCCTTGAAGCGAAGGCTAAAGCTAATGAAATTTTTCGGTGTTGTATGCATTTCTGGAGTGAAGATAAAGATTGTATATTGTGGCATATGCATGACGAAGCTTTGAAAGTTAAGTTGTACAGGGCGGGCGATGATCTTAGAGATGTGGGTGAAGGTATGTAAAACAGAGGTTCATGGAGCATAGTGGGCATTGAGTTCCGTTGCACTTTCTCAAGGGGCGGATTCGTGAGATTGGACGTAGCAAAGAAGATTGTGTTGAAGAGATCATTGAAAGCTCAATGATTGATGTAGATTACTGTATTCTTTATCACACATGGCGTTGTGGAGAGGATAAATGCATGTTAGAATACTAGAAGAAGCTAATGAGAGTTATTGTAGCAGGAGATAATACAAGGAGTTTTTGAATACAATAAACTTGCAATATATTCAATAGGAGTTTGAGTATCACTTCAAATGTTGTCCAACTCAAACACAACTCCAAGTTCCCAGCGCATGATAATTATAAATATATAATTGAATGTTTTGTGCTGATGTTATTTGAAGTCATTAGGTTTTTTTTTTCTTGTAGTGGTAAGCCTGTGTTATGTTGTTCTTATTGTTTCTTTTTACTGTGTTGTAAAAGTTCTCCGATGGAGCTTAGTATCCTCATTTATACGATATTGGCACTGAGTTTATTTTACATTGTTTTGGCTTTGAAGTAAGATTGTAAAAAAAAATTTAAAAACAAAATTTCAAAAACCAAATTTGATATACAAAAATGCGAATTGCTTATAGTAATGAAAGCAAAAATACATGGTCCAAGCTATTGGTTACGTCATCAAAAGCTAACATAACAAGAAATGCTAATACAATCACAACTAACACCTTCTACATGGTCTTTGGTGTAAAATATCACTATCGAAAGTGTAATGTAGCAGTGGTTGTATAAGTCTTTCATGTAATCCATGTTGTTCCTCAACAACAATTTCAGATTGAGGTATGCTATGCCTGAATGTTGATTGACTGGAGGGTACTCTGGACTGAGGTAGACATGCAAATCCTGTAGAGTTTCTTGCGAGTACCCCTTATTAGGATACGAAGAAGCGACAACAAATTCACTGTATAGATCAGTAGCTTCATGGCTCATGGGAATCGGTGTGTCCTTGCCTGCTGCATAATCAAAATTTCAATTGTCCTCGATATACATCTCCCTGAGCAAGTCCCAACAGAGTGCTGCCATTACGTTTATGTCCCTCTGGTGCTGCATGTCTGTATTGCCATTGAAGTGACACTTTAAAGTTTGCTTCGTGGAAAGGAAGAAGTCTCACTGCTGTTAATTACATGAACAAAATTAGTCTTATAAAACTTGGAGGTCTTCTAAGATAGCATGCAATTTAAAATTTACTTACCAAGAGGCGCTCTGAGGGAGCTCTAGGGTATGAAGTGGTGGGAGAGTCAACAGGTGCCTTCAACATATAGAGTGTGGCCCAGGACTTATATCACTACAAGTAATGCTGCGCTGCATACTTGTGTTTATCACCTATATGCGCTCCAACAACCACATCCCAAATTGAGATGTGAACCTGGTGGTATAATATCCAATCCATGTCAGGCTTTCCACGACCATATACTCTTTTAAAGCTGGGATCTATAGCTAGGACATCAGTAATAGAAGAGAAGCCAAACTGTCGAAGCACTCAATCTGGCAAGTGTCACTCCACCCTCTTCCAACATACTGAAGGTACTCTTGCCATCTATATTTCTTCAGTAACCCTACAAATCTGTGCAATCTGAGCTCTAATATCATATGTATAGGGTCCCTAGATAACTTGCATATAGCGAAATAACATACATTATATATTTGCAACCTATTTGGGATAATGAATATTTCTAAATTACCTGGCTATCAAGTAAACCATCCAGCTCGTCCCTATAGCTGATGTTGTCCCCCAAAGGCATTTCTTGGACACAGTCCTCATTCCACTTATTTAAACCAAAAGTCAGTGCGAGATTTGTGTGAATGAGTGTGGTTAAGTTATATTTAGTACCTGAATCCGACACTCAACCCTTCTATTTGAACTGGAAATGGAACATGAAGTGCCGGACGACCAACATGAAGGTGCTCCCAAGCCCAAATCTGCAATATATGTATTCACCCAGCTATGTTGGCCCTACAAAGCAGTCTAGGCCTTGTTGATTTAGCCAACTCCCTGTACAAATGCGTAAGGACTACCCCACCAAGAGGGTAGGCACTAAAGATCATTAAATACTCCATGATAGTCAAGTACTACAGTTTTATCTCTGAACCAGTTGTATTTGGTAGTAGGTGGCAACCCGAGATGAAGAGAATATAGGCCCTCACATGCCTCAAAAATTCCAGTGTAATAATCTTAATTTCAGCGCTATGCCTTGCTAAAAAAGAAAGAGGGAAGAGAGAGAAGGCAGTTCGGGGCTTTTACATCCGTTAATTTTGTTCAGAAATTTCTTCTGTTCATTGTAAGTAATCCAAATTTCATTTTAGTTTTTAATTATTTTTAGTATGACATATATTTACTTACATTTAACAAAATTGATTATTTCCTATTACATTTTGATTGTGGCATTTGCATAAGCAAGAAAAGTTGGCTGTTAATACTATAAAATGGGTTTGTTGTTAATATATAATACCTTGCGTAGGAGTGTGGGCCGATGGCCTTTCATTTAAAGATTGTTTGTGATGTTATCTTGGTTTTAGCCCGTAACAGATGATTGAATACGCCAACAGGCAGAGAGTGACGACTCTTTATTGATTTAATGAAGTCATCTGTAATGATAATTGATTAATTAAAAGAGCTTAAATTAAAAAAATATGATAATTGACAAAAAATAATGAATATAATTATAAAAATAATAAAGATGAATCTGACAATACTTACTGATGGAACACCACAACTTTACAACTCAAGTCATATTTCTTAAATCATATATGTCACAACTACTTCAACATCCAATGCCATCAATCATGAGTCTGCACAGATTCTAACTTGTACGGCACTAACTATCCAAATTACTAATGAAATCAATAACAATACAGTATGACTCTATAATAGCATAATAACAATCACTAATAATCTACTAGGGTTTATTACAAATGGGTGCAACAAATATTCATCACATTAATTGTAATGTAATATTCATTTACAAACTCATCCTCTATTAATTCTCACTTATACAATATCTGATCTTTAATAAAATGCTTTCATTATTAATTCTTAATAAAAATAGCAATTTCTTTTCTTCAAAAAAAAAAAAAAAAAGGTGTAAGTTGTCCGTTGATCGGACAACTTACATAAGTCGTTGATCACGTCGGCGACTTATGCTAAATTTAATTTGTTCTTATAACAGCTAGTTAACTCAGTAATACCTACTCAGCAAAAGCGCCCTTTTAAAGGGCAACTTTACCCACTTTTAAATTTTCTAAAATATCATGCTTAAACGCTTAATTTGTAGCTGACCCCACGTAGTGAGATAAAGGCTTGATGTTGTTGTTGTTGCTGCTGCTATTACTCATTTTCATTTCTCCTTTATTGTTTAGCTTTATGTGAAGTAATGTTTTAGTTGTACTTCTTTTTTTTTTTGGGACATTTAGGCCATTTAAGGCAAACTCACACACACAACGCATACACATAGACTCGAACCTTAGACCTCTTAGTTGGAAGCCTTAGCTCTCAACCAATAGGCCAAGGAGAGTTGTGTTTAGTTGTACTTCTCGTTAGGTTCTGTATTCCTTTGCTGTCTATTTTTTGAGTAGAACGACGTCTTCCTGCGGAGTCATGGCCCTCAAGCTTGCCTTTGGGCTGGTTGCTCATTGGGCTTAGGCGGACGGAAGAATCTGCACTTGTCGCACGTATCTCCTGGGCAAAAAGAGGGAAAATGCTGTGAAGGATTTAACTTGCCCTAAGATTTGAGCAGGCGTTTTTTTTCGTGGTTCGCAATATTTAACTCAAATCACCCATTATTCTTTATATGGTGCCTTCTTATTCATAATATTCTTATGACAATTAAGGCAGTTCTTTATTTTATTGACTTCGTTCTGGTTTTAGAAGTCATATCCTCATTGATATCTCTAGTCTTTGGTTAATAAATTCTAGTTATGTCCAATCATATAGATAGCATACGATCTTTCTATGATATTGATTAATAAATATTTATTTTGATGCCCACTAAAGTTGTATATCATATATGCTTGCTTTCATCTTAATTCTTAAGCCTTGTTTGGTTAAGATTTTTCCTTTTTCGCAATAGTGTAGCTGCTGCGATGCAATTGTATGATTTTTTATTGGAAAGAAAATGACATAGCCTTTCAATCAATCAATCTGTTTTATTGTAGTTTCTTTTTTGGTCACTTAGAAAATATTATGGTTTATAAAACATCTTTGTAAAGCACTACCTGAAAAGATAGAAGCCTAACCATACAAGCCTCAGGTTTTAGTGTTTTAAAGGTTTCCCCAATTGTACTAACATTGGACTTTAGATGACGACTAATTTATTAAAATTATTTTCTCTTTTACAAGTAGTTTACATTTTGGGAGTTCAGTTTCAATCTCTTTTGAATTGATGATGTTTTTTGTGAAGTTATTGGTATGATTGAAAATTCTTTGATGTTGATACGAATATTTTAAATAATATCAATGGCCTATTAAAGCAATGTAGTTTTGATGCATTCATTTTATCATTGAGCCTCTTAGATCAATTCTCATGCTATTCAATGATATGTATTTTTAGAATCAATAAAATTCATATGAAAATATTTTTGTTACTTTTTATACTTATTCAGTAATCGAATTAGAAAAAAAAATCTTTTAGTTTTTTATATTGTAGATCTAATTATTTATTAAACACTGACATAATTTTTCTAAGCTTAACTTATTGTTATACTTATTAAAATTTTATTGTATGACTTTTGTTTAATTTCTTAAAATTATAAAAATCCTGACCATTCCTTTGTTCTTAGAGATTAATATCAAAATGTTTTTTCTCCTATCATATTGCATCCTCTTAGACTTGAGGATTATTCACCAAAACAACATATTTCTATAACATTTTATATTACTTTGTGTCTCATTTGGATATTAAACTTCACCTCTATGCATCATATTTAAGCTTACTAAAAATTTCATTTTGGGCTTAAAAATTTATAAATCATGGATTCATGATTTCTCATTTGGGATTAGGATTGGGAACAATTAGTATAACTAGAAGTGGATTAAAAGGACAAATAATGGTGGTAGGTAGTGATTGGGAAGTACAAGGGAGGTGGTTGCTTAGTAGTAAGTGGAGGTTTGGGAGAACAATTTATCCAATACTCATACTTCTTCACATACTGTGGGATACTTGTCGAATTTCTTGGTGAACAATACTTTAGGCATACTCCATGCATGTTGCTAGTTGCATACCTTATTTTGCGGTTTATACTAAGAGATGAAACATATAATATTATAACTAAAAGTGCATCAAAATCTCAGCTGTCTAATATCCTTCTCTTCATGTCTGTTATTAAATTCTTTAGGAAGAAAGCTGCTTATGTAAACATCATACTGTTATGGTAGAATTGATTAGCTTGCTTCCAACATCTGGTGAGGAGGATGTTAGGCCGGTCGAAGAGGGGCCGGCTGCACCCATTGAACCGGTCCCTAGTGGACCGGTTTTCTATTACAGCCGCCGGCCCAAGGAAGGGAGAGAGAGGGGGCCAGCTACTCCTATGGGTCCCACTCCTTTATTAAAAATTGTTTGGAGGGAAATATTTGAATTATGGGCTGATCAGGGATTTTTTATTATTCCTTTGACTTTTTTTTTATTCCTTCGACTTTAATTAGTCGCTAATGTTAGAATTACGGTTTCATCTTGAATTTGAAATCAAATTTGAGATATAGGGTTTGTGCTTTTGGGCTGTAGGATTTGCTAGAGAATTGGAGAGTTGTTTCTTCCTCTCAAATTGAAAAAACTAGTATCTTGTATTGTTTCTCTTGTTCGTGGATTGAATAGAAGAAATTTTCCTTGTGTTTCTCTCCAATATCCTGAAATTCCTGCATCATTTTTGCTGTTTTCTCTCTGAAATCAGCAAATTTCTTGCTATTTTTATCAATTATTGCTAGGTTTGCTTGCGAACTTAGTATTTCCCTTAGGGTTACTTGCGAACTCAAGTATGTCCTATCAGAGGACCTGAATTTCAGTTCGCTACTTCAATGATGTGAACTTGTTGCGATGCATGGTCAGGCCTGGTGAAAACACCACCCAGCTATGCCGCTGGACCCTGAATATAGATTTTAATGCTGACCATTAATGATATCGCTTGGTTTTTACTTCAGTGAGACCTTTATAGAAGCTTGTCAAGGTAAAACGTATCCAGTATCCTTGCATCCTTTTTTTTCGCTGTGAGGTTAATATTCTCAGTGCAGTTTAACTTGCTTTAGTATAGACTCAAAATTTTTTATGATTTTTCATGAGAAGAACTTTTAGTGTTTCTACTTTCTATTCTTCACCCAAAGTAAGAAAAATATGTGGTGCTTCTTCTTAGTATTGATTCTGTACCAAAAAAAAAGGTAAAATGGAAGAAAGAGAATTCCTCTCTAGCTGCTTGTCAAGGTAATGCTCCAGTAACCTTGCATCCTTTTTTTAATTGTGGTAAGGTTGATATTCTCCTTGCAGTTTAACTTTCTTTATTAGAGACTCAAACTTGGTAATGATTTTTCATGTGGATAACTTTTGTTGATTCAATTCTTCAACTTAAGCAGGAAGAATGTGTAGCGTTTCTTCTCAGTATTGATTCTGTACAGCAAAAAGGTAAGATGAGTCCTTTCTAGCAGCTTGTCAAAGTAAAACGTTTCTAGTAACCTTGCATCCTTTTTTTGTTGTGAGGTTAATATTCACTGTGCAGTTGATCTTACTTTAGTATGAACTCAAACCTACCTATGATTTTTCCTGAGGATAACCTTTATTGTTTCAACTCTTTTTGTTCTGCTTGATAGCTCCCCAGTCATTAGCGAGGCGGCGGATTTTTCTTCATTGACTAGTGAGAAGCCTGTTTCTAGTTGAGTGATGAGTGACAAGCTAGGTCTTCTGTGGTTTCTGTGCCAAAGTTGGTAGCCATGAAGATTTCTTATTAAACTATGGAAGTGAAAGCTGGTGCTGCTGCCAAATATATGAAAATCATGCCCTGGACATCACCAATTTAGCTCTGAAGGAAAAGGCTAAAGCTGGGGAGTTTCCACCAAAAACAGGTATGAGTAATATCTCTCTGCTATGGCTTTGGAATTATACGAGTTAAATTGCGGGTAACATGCAAATTTCTTTGTCACTTTTGTAGCAATAATGTGGATATGGCTTGTGCAGCATCAGTTGAATAAAATTTCTTTAGGGTCCATTTGATTGCTTTATGCATTTTTGGTTTAGTGGAATTGGCGTAGTGAAAATCTATTTTATTAGCAATCTCAGATTTGGTGTTTGGTTTCAATATAATTTATAGATAATTAATTTTACATAAGATATATATATATATATATATATGCAACCCTATAAAAATGAGAAAGCTATTGCCAATGCCATGCCCTTGTAAAAAATGAGAAGAAAAAAATGCTGGATTATCATTGTTAACTTATCCCCTTCTAACAAAATAATAATTTAGGTTCTTATTAGTAATGAACATTTCTCGATTGGATTACACAGTTAAACTTTGATTGGCACTTAAAAAGGCGTACAATGCTAGTGCTGATCAAAGGCGAAGGTAGAGAAAGCTAGGTATAAGGTGGGTTCTAGGCGGTTTCATCAAGAAGACTATTGTAGTTGAGGGTGTTCTTAATCTTCTAGGGGACCAACCTCAATTATTGAAGGATGTTCTGGTCTTCTGGTGGATGTTGAATCCCCAAAAATCGGAGTCCAGAATGTCTTGGTTTTAGACATCTAAACTCTAAAACTCATGTACATGATCGTTGCATCCTTGAAAGTGATCTCTTGGGTAGGAGGTAACGGTTGCTAGAATCTCTCTTTGAAGATTGATTGAGCCTAGGGTTGCAAATGAATCGATATGCTTTATGAGCTATTTGTGACTAGATTTGGTTAGTTATTGGTCATGATCGTTTACTAATTGATCGTACAAAGCTTGAACACTTCTATAAACATTCAATTAGTATATGAACAAGCTTGAACAATTTGTTTATTGATTCATTTTTGATCTTGGGTAGCATCATCTAACACTGTCGTTATTAGGTCCAAACCCTAGATGAGAAAAACTTAGGGTTGCTTTAGTAGTCGTCATCCAGCATAAAATTATCGAATAATCATGCTATGAATTCTTTAATACATTACATTAATACTAGGGTGTTTCTTGGAAGTGACGCGTTGTATGACCTGAATGCAGCTATAAATGTGCAAGGGCCATTGTAATGGCGCCCGATTGCAATATTAAATAAGCAAAGGGTTCCTACATTATGGATGGATGCGAGCAAATATGCTAGTTCATAAAACTAGAATTATGATAGAATTTAGAATATAGGTTCTCTTATAGGCAATTTAATAAAATTAATATATATTATAATTCACAGGGAGATAAATATTTTATGCATTCGAAAAACTATATGGTTTGGAGAGAAGACTAAAGCGTTTGATAGGAGAAGTAAGAATTTAGTTTAAGTGAAGTGCATTAAGAATGAAGATAAAAAATGCTTTTATTAAAAGAATATATTGAACAAAAGTGGATGAGATATTTCGATAAACTTTTCAATGAAGTTTGTGAGAATACGATTGATTTTAGTGACATTAACACCCTAAATGGATATAAAGATTTTTGTTTTTATTGTCATATTAGTAAAATTAAAGTTAGAGAGGTTTTAAATAAAATAAAGTGTGAAAAAGCTGTTGGTCTTGATGATATTCTAATAGATGTGTAAAAATGCTTAGGAGATGAATGAATTTTTTAGCTTACTAAACTTTTCAATATTATTTTGAAGACTAAAAAAGATCCAGATGAGTCGAGTGTGTTAATTTCTATTTTTAAGATTAAAAGTGATGCACAAGAGTGTGCGAATTATAAATGAATTAGGTTAATGTGTCATACATTAAAACTACGGTAGAGAGTTATTGAATATCGGTTACAACGTGATACAAATGTTTCTCAAAATCAATTTGAATTCATGCCCGGTAGGTCTACTATGAAAGCTATACTTTTATTGAGAGGTTTGATGTAGAATTATAGAGAGTGTAAAATATTCCAAATGCAGGATTTTTGAAAATATTTGCATTTGATTGGATGAAGAAGAAATGCAAAATAAAGTAAATGTAGTATAAACCATTTTAATTCATTTATGTGATAAACTAAACTCGTCTAGTTTTGAGCGAGAAATGTTTACACCGCAAGCAAGCTCGCTTGACTGCTGCTGCCAATCACCATTGCCATTGATCACCACCACCCGCCAGCCACCTACGACCACCACCCATCGACAGTTGCAGGCTAACACCTGTTGCCTACCGCCAGCTGCCCCACCTGTTGTAGGCTACTAGTACATACCATTGTCGACCACCACAGCCACCTGCTGGCCACCACCCGCCCCAACCATCTTTATATATTCATTTTTTTCTAACCAAACAAAAATAAAACATTCATCTGAATTTATTTTACACATCCAAATAATTCCGAAGTTTTCGTTTTACATTGCATTCTTTTTTTAGTCAACCAAACAACCTCTTAGTTATGATTGTTCTTATAAACATTTGCAAGAGGATGTACCTTGGTATATATTTTTTTATGATGATATTCTTCTTGTGGGCAAGTTTAGAGAGGGAGTTAAAGGAGAACTTGAATTATGGATGTTCACCTTAAGAGTCTAAAGGTTTTTGTTTGAGTAGATGTAAAACCGACTATATAGAGTGTAATTTTAGTTATAATACATCTAGCAGGGGGATTATGACTTTGGGCGATCAAGTCATTAATAAGAGTACATGTTTTAGATATCCCGAGTCTATTGTTGAAAGTGATGGTGAAATAGATGAGGATATTATTAGTAGAATTCAAGTTGGATGCTTGAAGGAATGAATCAAACATGTTGTGTGATAGATTAAAGGAAAATTCTATAAGATGGTGGTGAGACTTGCAATGGTTTATGGTGCAAAATGATGGTCATTAAAATAGAAGCATAAAATTAAGTGTTGCGGAGATGAGGATGCTCAGGTGGATGAGTGACTTCACCCTTAGAAGCATAATGCAAAATGAGTATATACGTGGAAATGTTGGAGTAGCTTTTGTGGAAGATAAGATTAGAGAGAGTCACCTTAGATGGTTTGGACACATCAAATATCGGCCTTCTATTAACCCGGTTAGGAAATTAGATATATTGAATTTGGCCTATTTCAAGAAGGGTAGAGGTAGTCCTAAAAAGTCTTGGCTAGAAAACATTAGAAATGACCTTTTATTAAAGTTAAGTGAGAATTTGATTCTTAACAGGACTTAATGGAGAAAAGGATTCATGTTGTTGACCTCACGTAGTGCAACAAAAGCTTGATGTTGTTGTTGTTGGTAGCATCATTTAAAGCTTGTGAACAAGCTAGTTAAGAAGCTTTATTAATGGTCGATAACATGCTCATTTAAGACTTAATAATGTGCTCAATTATAAATTTAGCAATATGTGAAAATATAGTGTCGTTCTTTTATCTATTAGATTTTTTTTGTAAATGAATACAAGCTACTGCATGCCTATTAAAATGCTTATTTTTTAGTACGTTGTTAAGTTAAATTCTGTTAGACCGGTCCAGCCGGTCAGCACAGGACCGGCATGTCGCAATTGAGGCGGGATCTCCGCCTCCTGCAGAGATCGGGCGGCCTGATCGCCCAAGCAGAGCGTTTTAGGAAGGATTTTTGGGGGATTAAGAGAGAAATTTGAATGTAGGGACTGTTTAGGGATTTCCTTTTGATTTGTATGCATTAAATACTTTGTTTTCCTAGGGTTAGGGTATTTTGAATTTTGCTGAAATTTGAGATATCTTAGATTTAGGTTTTCTTTGGGCTCTAGCGGCGTCTAGAAATTTGGGAGAGATTGATTCTGCTCTCGAATTGAGGATCAAGTGTATCTTGCTATTTTCCGTGTTCCTTTCATCAAATAATATAAATTATCTATTATTTTTATGATTTTGTGTGGATTTTGTGGAGAAAGCTTATTGTTTTTCGAAGATTGATAGAAAGTACTTGAGATCTTCAAGTGTTTCCTATCAAATTGGTATCAGAGCAAGCCATGGGACCGTTCGTGGGCTAATTTTGGCGAAGTTCGGCGGCTGATTTTTGGTTGGGAAGGGACGAAGTGCTTTTTTTTAATCCAAATCCAAAATTTTTGGATTTACAAAAGTTCTGATCGAGATGGCGGCCAAGAAAGTTGATGCGCTAGAAGAAAGGCTTGAATGGGAGATGAACCAAATCAAGACAACGGTGGAGGAAAGGATTTCCTCCATGGAAGGACAAGTAGCCGATCTCCGGGACATGATGAAAAAAAATGTTGAAAATTCACAACCAAACGGTGGCTTCTGTTGAAAAATAGGAGGAAAGAAAAAATACGAATTCTGAAATTCGTAGTGAGGAAGTTGAGGTGGAAATCGTGGATGGGGAAGGAAGAAGACCCCATTTGGAGCCTGTCTAGAGGGAAGAAAGAGGAGGTTATGAGGAACGCCAGGAGGGATACTATGACCGCCGTGCTGCTGATTTTGAAGACATAAGGGGGATTTCGATGGGAGTTTGAGCTATGGCAGAGCAAGGGAAGAGCGGGACACATGGGGTGGACCGAGCACTTGGGAAAGGGGAAGTTATGGAAGAATCAAGGGAAATGGTGGTGACCAGAAGATGAGGAAGTTTAGGATGCCCATCTTCGAAGGAGAAGATATGTATGGATGGATTTACAAGGTAGAGCGGTATTTTGCCGTCAATGGGTTGACGGAGGAGGAGAAGTTGACAGCAGCGGGATTGTGTTTGGAAGGGAAAGCCCTATCATTGTTTCAGTGGAGAGACCAACGGAGGTCGATCAGGAACTGGAGGGAATTTAAAGACTGCATAATAAAGCGTTTCCAAACCGATTGGGGAGGAGACTTCTATGAGCAATTCTTTGCTTTGACACAGGAGGGATCAATAGCAGATTACCGGGAGCAGTTTGAGCATCTAGCTAGCAGAGTGGAGCGACTCTCAGATACAGTGTTGGAGGGGAATTTCATGAAAGGGTTAAAGGCAGAGATTCGAGCGGCAGTTAAAGTTCTGATGCCTAGTGACTTGGGAGAGGCCATGAAATTGACACAGCTGGTAGAAAATCAGAAGAATCTAGAGAAGGGAGCCAGGAGCAGTAGCTTAGGAGGCTCTTACAAGACTACGACCACTCTTCTAGCACCCAAGGGGCCTGCCTCAGGCAACATTAATGAGACCTCTAGGGAGAAGCCAGTAGGAGGGAGTGGGGAAAATTTCAAGAGGCTGACAGAGAAGGAGATGCAGGAGAAGTGGGCCAAGGGGTTGTGTTTCAGGTGCGAGGAGAAGTATATGCCAGAGCATCACTGCAAGGATCGAACCCTTCAGGTTCTCACCGTCTGCGATGACGAGAAAATTGAGGGAGGTGAGGAGGAGATGGAGGAGAAGCTACACTTGGATCTGGCTGAGGTTTCCCTTAACTCAGTGGTAGGATTCACTACGAATCATACCATGAAGGTGAAGGGGGAGATAGAGGGCAAAGAAGTGGTGGTGCTAATTGATAGTGGGGCTACCCTCAATTTCATTTCCACTCAGGTCGTCGACCAACTGAGAGTGAAATTGGTGGAAACCGGTTATTATGGAGTGATAATGGGTACATGGAAGGTGGAGAAAGGCCAGTGGATCTGTAGAGGAGTGATTTTGACCATCTAGGGGATTCAGGTAAGGGAGGACTTTCTTCCACCAAAATTAGGAAGTACTAATGTCATCCTGGAAATGAAGTGGTTGCAAACCTTAGGGGAAACCAAGGACAATTGGGGAGATCTCACGATAGAACTAATGATGGATGGGAGAAAGGTGATTATAAGGGGAGATGCAGGGCTATCCAAAGCCATGGTATCACTTAAGACCATGGTTAGGGGCCTTCAAGAGGTGGGGAAAGATTATCTGGTGGGACTACACATGTTGGATGCAATCAGATTGGAGGAGGGAGGGGATGTTTCTCTTTCCGTGTAGCCCTTGGTTTAGTAATACAATAAGGTTTTTCAGTCACCTCAAGGATGGCCACCTCCGCGGGAACACGAACATTTTTCCACCTTGAGGACAAGTTGGGTCTTTGGGAGGGGAGTATTGTTAGACCGGTCCATTGGACCGGTCCAGCCTGTCCACACAGGACTGACATTTCGCAATTGACGCGGGATCTCCGCCTCCTGCGGAGATCGGGCGGCCAGATTGCCCAAGCAAAGTGTTTTAGGAAGGATTTTTGGGGGGATTAAGAGAGAAGTTTGAATGTAGGGATTGTTTAGGAATTTCCTTTTGATTTGTATGCATTAAATACTTTGTTTTCCTAGGGTTAGGGCATCTTGAATTTGGCTGAAATTTGAGATCTCTTAGATTTATGTTTTCTTTGGCTCTAGCGGCGTCTAGAGATTTGGGAGAGATCGGTCCTCCTCTCGAATTGAGGATCAAGTGTATATTGCTATTTTCCATGTTCCTTGCATCAAATAATATAAATTATCTACTGTTTTTGTGATTTTGTGGAGAAAGCTCACTGTTTTTCGAAGATTGATAGAAAGTAATGGATATCTTCAAGTGTTTCCTATCAAATTCCCATTTTTAAGCTCGATAGCCTATTTACTAGTAGACTCGATAAGCTTGTTTGGTTAACTAACAAATTGTTCGATAGTGTTTCTAGTTAATAATAGCCTCTATGAATCTCATTTGGTTTGCTACTAAGCTCTATAATTACAATTTAGATTAACTCAAGTTGAGCTCAAACAAAAATAATTATAATTTTAAACGAACATGATCACAAATACTTGACAATCTTTAAATGATACTACCCATTTAAATGAGCATAAATTGAACAAATATGAAGTCTTAAACGGGCCTAAAAAATGAACATGGATGCTTGCTCAGCTGATGGATCAAGTAAGTATAACAACTTCTATGACAATAAGTGTAGCTGATACTCACACAATGCCACCAACTCACAAACACAACAAAAGAAACCTAATTCCTCAAAATATAACTTAATATCTCTAATTTTTCTTCTCATAAAAACCTAATTCAAATCTCAATCAAGAATTCATACAAATGAGGATATCTTATGCCATGTTAACAAAGCTCTTCCATATCACCTTGTAGGAGAAAATACATTTTTTTCTTCTTTTGTCAGTTTTTGGCAATCCGTGATAAGAGTGGCAGAGCCTGAAATTTTTGATCGGGATATAAAGTAATTTCATAATTTAGAAGTGGTGCACATTAAATTTTTACTGTTATAAAGATCAAATAGTTGAAGCTTATTTATAAATCTATTATATTTATAAGGGCATATTAAAAATTGGAGGGCCTGGTCGACCTTATAAGGGCATATTTTCATTTTGTTGTAATATTTAACGTTTCTATTTATTTATATTTATTTTCTACGAAAAAAATTTACACTATTAGTTGATATCTCTTGTCTCTTCCCTGCCTTTTTTTATTTTTTTTTAATTATTTATCATAATTTATTGTCTCTTCCCTGCCTTACATTCTCTATATAGCAAATTGTTTAACATTGTCGTAGTTCTGATTTGAGTTTACTATTTTGACAAATTACGTATATTTTACTCAATCTCATACATGATTTGTAATTCAATACCCCGGGTTGCTAAAATTGTCATTAACTACTGCGCTTAATTTTGATATTTCTTCAAGAAAATCTTCTTTAGAAAATATCAGAAATGATCTTTCTTTATTAGATTTAAATGATTTAAATGAGAATTTGACTTTTAACAAAACAAAATGGAGAAAAAGTATTTATGTAGCCGACCCCACGTAGTGGGACAAAGGCTTGATATTTTTATTGTTGTTGTTGTAAGAAAATCTTCATTTTATTATGTTTTGGTTGCTGTTATTGTCATACAAGACATCACAATCAGGTAGCTCACTTACCCAATTGAACTCGAATGGAGACAATGCTTGATCTTAGGGTTTGGTTTGCTTTGAGTAAAAGAGAAAGCAAGAAGAAAATTGAAAAGAAAATGACAAGGACAAGTTAGTTGAATTGAAATATCGCTTATCTTATTTGTTTGGTTGAGAATATAGCTGGAAAAGTTCTTATGATGTAGCTGAACACAAAGAGGATAATTTTAGAGAAAAAGAGATTGAGGAAATACTGGTATAACAATTTAAATGTGTTATGAACATAAATTTAAATTAGCAAGAATGCTACAATCGATATAGGGTTTGACTTAGGCTTCATTTGGGACGGCTTTTTTATTCCTCTTAAAGCTGCTTTTTAGTACAAAAAATTTAATTTTTCAGCTTTAAGAAGCAAGAAAAAAGCCGTCCCAAACCAAACCATAATGAATGAAACCATAATGAATGACCTCAATTCCTGCTAAAGAACTCCTATTATGGATTCCTTTCTACTCGAATATAATTCTTTTGCTCCACATGGGTGGAGAAATATGCAAATCTCTTCCTTAAAGGAGAGTAGTCCTCTCATATTTATTATGGGCAAGAGGATCATCTCTAAGCCTAAGCTTATCAAACTTTATATGAAATGTCATATAACAAAGTGATCTAACACTTTTGAGGGGGATCAAACTTTTGGTGGTGACCAAGGCTGCCAACAACAATTACATGCGGTATATATGACCTTTTGGCTCAAATAAATTCCCTCTTAGATATGTGAAAATTCTGATTGCAATTCATGAAGAGAGAGAGTAGAAGCCAAATATCTCATCAAAATAGTTTTGAATATCACTTGATCTTCAAAATTAATTTTCAAATAAAATTATCCTACATTCTCTAGAATGAGCTAATCAATTTATAGACAAAACGAGAACAACAACAACAACAAGATGCCTTGGCCCCACTACGTGGGGTCGGCTACAATAATTTTTTTTTCTTCATTGTTCTCCTATTAAAAATCAAATTTTCATTTTAATCTAATAAAAAATGATCATTTTTAATACTTTCTAACCAATAACCAACTCTTTTAGGTCTACCTCTACCTTTCTTAACATAGGCCGGATCTAATATATCTACTCTCCTAATAAAGTCATTAAAAGACCAACATTATATCTGATCATATCATCTAATGCGACTTTCTCTAACCTTTTCGCATTTTGTCTTTAAGTTTATTTTTCTCTATCTTCAATTTCTCTTTTAGCTTGATTTCTATGGGTTGCAAATTTGCAGTGTCATCGCCAATAGATCTGAATCCAACAGTTCCATGTATTCACAGATAAAAAATATCATATAGTTAGAAATATAAAGACCATCATATCCTTCAATTGTAAAGAAAGTTATAAAATATAATTTTTGATTGGATGGGAACAAGATCCAATGCATAAATACCTGTCTGCAAAGTTACTAAAAAAAAAAAAAAAAAGTAAAGCCGCATGTGAAATAAATTTATTTCAAACTTTCCTTCCTCATCACGCTTAGTCAACTTCTTTTCTTCTATATATTTTTATTTTATAGTCTAAAAAAGCTAGATATACAGCTATGAGTTAGTTATCCAAGCAACTAAGCAAGCACAATAATAAGCCACTTGCAATCTGTTGGATATTAGGACGAGCAGTTCACCAACATCAGCTCTACTCTACCCTTTTTAAACCCAATCAGCCCATACAATCTCCACCATTCAAAGCTCCATATTCCAAACTCCACCTTAACTATCTCTACACTCCAGCCTGCTTCTCCTCTACCCTCCAATGGCTCTCAAGGGATCTCAACTGATCCTAATCATTTCTTTCTTCATATCTAGCCTCTTTGCCGTCGCCATTGCCCAATCGTCGAGCTCATGCACATCAGCACTTTTGAGCCTGTCACCTTGCCTGAACTTCATCTCACGCAACGAGACAACGCCATCGAGCTCGTGCTGCTCGCAGCTTAGTACTGTGGTCAAGTCGGAACCGCAGTGCCTATGCGCAGTTCTCAATGGCGACGCTGCATCCGGTCTTGGCATCTCCATTAACAAGACTCAGGCGCTCGCACTGCCTGCCGCCTGCAAGGTTCAGACGCCGCCGGTTAGCCAATGCAATAGTAAGCTTCGTCTTTGTCCAACTTCCCATATGTTCTTTCTTTCCTTCCAGTTTTGGATAATTTAATGAATCTGCACTGTTTTCTAGCTGCTTCATCACCACCGTCGACGCCGGCGACGCCAAGTGGATCGAAAAATGTTCCATCTGTGGATACAGGTTCAGCAAATGGAAGCGCTGCTGAAATTTCTGTTACATTTGTTCTCAGTCTGATGTTTGTGGTTGTGTTTTCTTCTGCTTCTGCTATCACTATATGAGACTTTTTATTGTGTATTTTAACTTTTCTATTGATTATTATTTTTCATGGTTGTTATTGTTATATCCTTATATGATTACCTTTGTCGAATCACCAGATTTGTATTGGTTACTTTTGTTGTATTATTTGTAAGCAGAGTGAAGAGTTCATGCATCTACTGTTATACATTTGCTTTGCAGAACCTTAGAGATTTTGTTTGAGATAGTTTTTTTTACTTTTTTTTTTTTAAATAGTTTTCTAGTAAAAAATTTTTACTAAAAAGCTACTTTAGAAAGCAGTTAGAAAGTTGTCACAAACAAAACTTTAATGTAAAATTATGTGCCTTAAATTGCTCATCATATGTGATTTTCTATTTTGTCTTTGAGATAAAAGGAAATGAAAATAATAGTTTAGATAGATGATTAAGGTTTTGTTTGGGATAGCTTTTTAATTGCTTCTTAAAATAGTTTTTTAATAAAAAATTAAATTTTTAAAAAGTAGTAAGAAAGGTGTCCCAAATGTTGGAGCTGTTTGGATGAATGTAAAGTAAATGTAAATGATTTTTTTATTTGGTTAGAAATAATGAATGTAGTATAAAATTTAAAAACGGTGGTGGCGGTGGTGGTGGTGGTGGCTAATGGTGGCCGGTAGTGGTGGCTGACGGTGATTGTTGGTGGATGGTGATGGTTGCAGGGGTTGGGGGTGGCGGTTAGTTGGCGGAGGGTGGTGACAGTGATTGGTGGTAGTGACGGTGGGTGGTGGAGGCTATTGATGATGATGGTTGTCGGCGGCAAATTGAGGTGGTGGCTGGCGGTTGGTGATGGAGGTAGTAGGTGATGATAGTGGTGGCCAGGCTACCACCATATTCATATTTATATTAGGCTCACTCAAATAATTGTAAACATTTCAAATTTATACTTTTTTTTTCATTCTATTCTATTTTATTTTGCATTTATTTTTCAACAAATCAAAACGCACTTTGAAATTAAGGATATTCTGAACAAAATTTAGTTATGATAAGTTTTAAAAATTTTGATTTATTATATGCAATTTTAGGACTAATATTTCAATTTATTCATATCTCACATGTTAAAAATTTGCACTTTGCCTTTGTATTTAAAATATTTAGGTGCTAAAAAAAAAGTTACATATTGAGCTCATAAAAACCAATAAAAAAGTGCATGACAAGACTCTTACAAGCACATGAACATAATAATTAAAAGTTAAAACACCAATGAGCACATGTGGATTGCATCATGATGCTAGCTATAGATAGAGTTGTACAGTTTATCTTGATCAATTGGTTGAGAGTTTTGACTATTAATAAAGAGGTATTGGATTTGAGTCTTGTGTATATGATGTGTGCATAAATTTACCTTAATTAACCTAAATGTTCGAAAAAAATAGATAGAGTTGTCAACGGGTAAATGAAGTAACAAAATTGCATATGGAATAATATTTTTTTATGATGAAATGATAACTTTGGGATTAATTATTCTGTGCGTACATCGAACGCCGTCTGAATATTAACCAGAATGCGTCACGTCACCACTTCACTCGGTATTGTGGCTCGGTACCGCTGATGTGTCGCATTCTGCGTTCAGCCTCAGCACGGAATAATTTCTCCAACTTTAATGGGGTATGGGAGAGTAGCACTTGGAGACATGGTTAGCATACCATGACCACATAAAATTAATAAAAAAATATGGGCCAAGACTCTCACAAACACATTAACATAATGGATAGGTAACTAATGAGTACATGTGGACAACTGCCCAAGATAAGTTGTTGGAGGAAGCTATTGAGTGGGTAAAGGTGGTTGTAAATCTACATATGGAATCACCTACTTTATGGTGAAGTGTCTAACTTTGGTGGTGTTTTGAGCATCTCCTTGAGATGCTAAGAGTTAAATTTCAAAATAGGATGAGTTACGCTCTAGATATGGCGAATTTGTCTTGTTGTGCCTTAGGCTGAGAGGCATTAAGCAGCTTTCTAGTAAAAAAAGTAAAATTTTTGTACTAGAAAGTTCCTTTAGTAAGAAAGCCGTCCCAAATGAAGTCGTAGGCTTCGTTTGGGATGACTTTCTTATTGCTTTTTAAAGTGGCTTTTTAGTTAAAAATAATAATTTTTGTACAAAAAAGCTGCTTTAAGAAACATGAAGAACACCATCCCAAATGAAGACTGTGCTTTTAATACATATCTAAATTCAATGTATATTGAGATATTTGGGTATATAAATTCAATGTATCACCATAAATTAATTTTTCCTTCATTAAAACATTACAAACTTTTTGGTAGAATGTGCTTTTAATACATATCTAAGTGTTTTAGAATTTGAAGAAGAAAAAAAAAAAGATTATTTGTTTTTAATTATATTTTGAAATATAAATAAAAGTGTTAAAAATAAAAGTTACATACTTAAAATTTAATATAGAAAATCTTGTCCATCATCAATTTGCTAGCAAAGATTTAAACATATATTAATTATGTATTTAATATAAAAAATCTTGTCTATCATCAATTTGTCTAGCATTTAATATAGAAAATTAAAGAATCCCACGAGTTAGGCACATAAATTATTTCAATTATTTGAAATGGTCGTAAATTAAATTTTATTATCAAGAGATCAAAAAAATAAATAGAATTTTAAAAATAATTAAATTTATACTTTTAATTCCTTTAAAATAATTATTTTCTATTATTTAGATCCGAATAAAACACTTAAAAAATATAATTTTGAATATGAAAGAAATTCCATCATAATTTCAATTTATTTATAATAGAAACTTCTGATTTATTTTAAATTAGTTGTAATATGAATATTAATTTATTATTTATACATTGACCCAATTATTTCTCTTGATAATTATTCACTTTCTTGCCATCATAATTTCAATTTATCTATAAATGAACATTAAAAAATTAATCCCAAAAAAGTGTAATTGCAAAAAAAAAACAAAAATATTAAATCCAATTTAAAAATTGATGAGAATTTTCTTAATGAAAATATCAATAATCTTAATTTCTGAATTTTTTATTGGGCATAAATTCAAATATGATATATACCATTCAAAAAATTTATGTATGATAATAAATTATAAAAAATATCAAAATAGGTACAAATATTAAATATAAAGAGCATCATATTTTCCCCTATAAAATAAGCTATAAAATTAATTTATAATTGAATGGGAAGTAGATAAAAAAAAACTCGAACTCATAAGAAAATTTTCTTACGGCTTTTAAGTAACTTTATAATAAGAAATTTTTGTACTAAGAAATTAATTTAGATAAAATTAAAAAAACTATTCCATACAAAGTCTAAGGTTTTATTTGGGATGAATTTCTTACTGTTTCTTAAAACAATTTTTTACTACAAAAATTTTAATTTTTGTATTAAAAATTAATTTAAGAAGCAATAAGAAACAACCCGAGACGAAATCTTAGTCAACCCTACTTTTTTTTTTTAAAAAAAAAAGTCAACCCTTTTTTCTATATTATTATTTTTAGTCTGAGAAAGATTTACAGGTAAAAGTTAGTTATCCAACCAAGCACTTCCAATAACTAAGATCTTTCAGATATTAGGAAGAGCAGTTCACCAACATCATCCCAACTCCACCCTTTTAAAACCCAATCACCCTATACAATCTCCTCCACCATTCAAAGCTTCTTCTTTTTCTTCTTCTTCTTCTTCCAGATTCCAGCCACAGCCATCTCTACATTCCATCAGCTTCCTTCTCCACCCTCCAATGGCTCTCAAGGGAACCCAATCCATCCTAGTTATTTTTTTCTTCATGTCCAGCCTCTTTGCTGTCACCACCGCCCAGTCATCGAGCTCCTGCCAATCTGCACTTCTAAGCCTGTCGCCTTGTCTGAACTTCATCTCCGGCAAGGCGACAACGCCGTCAAGCTCCTGCTGCACGCAGCTCAGTTCGGTGGTCAATTCAGAACCTCAGTGCCTATGCGCATTGCTCAGTGGCGATGTCGGATCTGGGCTTGGCATATCCATAAACAAGACTCAAGCGCTTGAGTTGCCCACAGTATGCAAGGTTCAGACAGCATCGATTAGCCAATGCAACAGTAAGTTCTTGCAAAAAAACTCGGAAATTTGATAGGAAACAATAACTATAAATCCAGAAAACTGCGGGATTTCAGAAAAAAATGCAGATTTTGCAAAAATTGTAGGAAAATATGAGAAAATCAATTGAAATTCAGTAGAGGATGAAGAAAAATAGCAAGATACAATTGATCCTCTATTCGAGAGGAGGATCGATCTCTCCCAAATCTCTAGACGCCGCTAGAGCCCAAAGAAAACCTAGATCTAAGTGATCTCAAATTTCAGCCAAATTCAAGACGTCCTAATCCTAAGAAAACAAACTATTTAATGCATACAATTCAAAAGAAAATATCTAAACAGTCCATACATTCAAATTTCCCTCCCAAATCCTGAAAAAAACTTTCCTAAATCTCTTTGCTTGGGCGTTCGGATCGCCCGATCTTCACAATCTGCGGAGATCCCGCCTCTGTTTCGCTAGCCGGTCTCGAATGGACCAGCTGGACGGGTCTAACAAAATCATAAAAAAACAGCAAAAAAATTGTATTAAAATGGAAAAAGCTTGCATTTTAGTCTAGGTAGGGAGGGGAGAATTCCTTGGGCAATTGTAGGATGCCTGCAACTCCTGATAATTGAGGAGAGAAGGATTGAGCAAAGGCTCTTTGGATCTTACATTGCTTAATTAATGCTCTAATCTCCCAAGAAGACCTGCTTATAGCCTACTATAAAGCCAAAAAAATCATTAATAGCCTAATAACAATCTAATCAACCTAATCACTTAGTATCTATTGATTCACCCATTATGTTTTTGTTCAAGTAAATATTTGGACAGTTTAGTGAATTTCAACTGTTTTGCAGCTTCTTCCTCGCCGCCGTCCACCGGTTCTCCGTCGACGCCGAATAATCCATCAGGCAAGATTTTTGAATTTAAAGTGACAGATTTTGTTTTTCTTTTACTTGTTTTCCAAATTTTTACTTAGCTTGGAATGAATTGGATGCAGGTGGTGGATCAAAAAATGTTCCATCTGTGGATACAGGTTCTGCAAATGGAAGCCCTGCTGAAGTCTCTATCACTCTTGTTATCAGCTTGATGTTTATGGCTGTTTTTTCGTCTGCTTCTTCTATCACTGTATAAGATTTTAGTGTGGATCTTAGTTTTTTCTACAGATTATATATTTTTTTTCAGAGCTGTTATTATTGTATCCTTATATGATTACTTATACTGAATAAACAGATCTAGATTTGTCAATTTTGTTGTGTTTTTTGGATTACAGACTGAAGGATATGTGTTCATTAATCTGCTAAATACTTCTTTCCACCCAGATAAAAAGCTAGAGCTGATGGAAGCTTAATTCCCTCATTAGAGACTTAAAATTTGCAGAATTCTTGTTAGAACTCTTAAACAATGGATTCTCTCTCTAGTAGAGAGAGAGAGAGAGAGAGAGAGAGATCAAAAGGTATATTAAATTTAAGATTCAGAGAACTGGAAGAGGATTTGTAGGGATTTGATTATTTGCCTAAGACACAAAAAATAAGAAGAAATGCTTAACTAAAGCAGAGTTTCAGCACAAGTGGATATATAACTAATCGAAAGGTTGGTGTGTTTCAATACACACTTTATTTGCCAAAATGTTTTTATTAATTTAGCCTTCGTTTGGGACGGATTTAGTACTGCTTCTTAAAGCATTTTTCTAGTTTAAAAATTAAAATTTTTAGCTAGAAAGTTGTTTTAAAAAGCAATAAAAAAACTGTCATAAACGAAACCATAATATTTTCTTTTATCAAAAATTTGGGTGAATATTTCAAGAATTCATCACAGATAAATTACAGGAGTTCAATTTTGAATTTATAATTAGCAAGGAAGAAAGGAAGGACTTTAAGTGAGAGAGAATGAAGAAGTTTATTTCAGATTTAGAAGGTTAACATTGAAAATATGCATACTGCAATGGGATATTAAAAGATTTTTTTTTTAAATAAAGTTTTTATATTATATGTCATTATAATAGAGTTTTTTTTTATATCTAAAGAGGATTAATTAGGAGTTAATTACATTCATAAATTATATTCTGATCAGGTGCTCTATTTAGTTCTCTTTTCTTCATTTTTGGATGTCTTGAAATGTTTAAGATGTATTCAAGATGAGATTAGATTCACATCATGGGTGTTCTCATTGAGATCGAGAGAACATCAAGAAAAGATCAACGAGTCAATCAATGGAAAAATTATTATGTGCGCTGTCTGGATATGTCCGGAGGTCAATTCGGACGCTCTATGTCAATCAATACATAATGCATTAGGTGACGTGGCTCATCCAGATGATGTGGCCCGTCCAGATGACGTGGTGCGTCTGGATTGACTTCTGGACGCATCCAGACTCTACTCATAATAATATCTCCACCCAATGATAGGATTCAAGATCTTGAATAAGCATTCTAGCTACTTAATTACCCTAAAGAAAAAAAAAAGAGTACAACAACAACAACATCAAGCCTTTATCCCATTACGTGGGGTTGGCTGCATGAAATTTTTTTTTTCAGTCAAATTCTCATTTAAATCTAAAAAAGAAGTGTTATTTCTAATAGTTTCTAACTAAGTATTTTTAGGTCTATCTCGTTCTTTTTAACATAGGCCAAAACTAATACATCTTTTTCCTAATCGGATCATTTTTATCGGAAGGCCGTCATTTTAAATGGGAAACTATTCATTCATTTTCCATAAGCATCATACTCCCAAATTAGGTCATTTATAATACAATGCTTGTAGCTAATTAGCTCTTAATTAATTTATTATTAACTAAAAAGCTAATTAAAGTGGATTTATGCCATTACTTCTCTCCCAACAACCTTATCGTTAAGGTTGAACAATCAAGTTAATCCAGTGGAGGATGGAAACATCCATTAAATAACACTCTATCAGCTTATATAAGTGATTTAAAATTGAAATAATATTAATTGAAATTAATTATTTAATGAATTAATTTTAATTAAAGTGTTTCTGCTAAAGATTTATTACTATTCTTTTATTTCAGAAATTTAAATTAACTTTCTTAAGAACTATTTGCAGTTCAGTGTCAAAATTCAGATGAAGACCAGCAAAAGATTTAGAAATTCCTTATTCTAGTGTCATTGGGTCTCTTATCAGTAGGGGTGTCAATTTCGGGTCACTGGTCGGATTCGGGTCGAACCCGGAACTGACACGGGTTTAAACGGGTTGATCCTAACCTGACCCGGGTAGACAAACGGGTCGGAAATCCGAACCCGGACCCGACCCGGCGGCAGGCGGACGGCGGGGGTGGAGGCGAGCGGGGTGGACGCGAGCTAGGATTAGTTGTTGATGTTATTAATGTTACATGATACATTGACTCAAATTTTCATAATATCACAACAGTTTTTACAGTCAGTCAATGCACATCAAATTTGTGTAAAAATCCAACTTTTCATGAAAGGACAAAGCATGCGAATGATCGTTATCATTTTATTCGTAATTTGGTAAATTCAAGTGTAGTAAAACTTTCTAAAATTTCAACTGATGACAATCATGCAGATATGGCTACAAATGTAGCCATTATATAAATTTGCTAAATATGTGTAAGTGAAATATAATCCTTTGGTGCTTAAAGTTTGGGTAATCTCTTTTCTTGCTTTCCTATTTATCTTCTCATCTATCAAGAATGCTTGACTTATCAGATTTAAGTAAGCCCTAGTTCTCATATTCGAACCACAAGAATGCTTGACTTCTTGCACCAGAGAAGAAGAAGAGAGGTTGAAATCCTTGGATTTTTGTGTGTGTGAAGAATGTGAATCTTTCTTGTACTCCTCTCTTGTTTGTTCTCCTTTTTTAGAAATAATTGTAAGAGATTGTCGGATGGAAGCATGATTTGTGCCATAAAAACTTTTTTTTTTTACAAAATCTAGCTATATGCTGGATATGCAGGTATATCTCTCCTATTTAGATTATGAAGATTAGTATATTATTGTTTTCTGCTCTCAGTTTTGCGTGTTCTTGTTCTCTAAGTTTCCCGATTTAGCATGTCTCATCTTCTAGATTAATCAACGTTTGAAAATAATTAACTCCTATTAATTAATCAACCATTATTAACTACTAAACTAATCAAGTGAATTCACATCAGGTGCTGTTAGGGATGTCAGAAAGCCCAATCTCTTCTTCAGACCAGCCCAACTCAAAAAGGATTAATGGGCCTAATGCGCGGTCCACATTTATTTTGGATCAATCTTTGATTGAACCCTTAACAAGTCAAATCAACGAAATTGGAAATATAAAAAAATATATAACATTGCTTACAGTTCACTCAACAAAGTTTTAAATAAATTCTTTTGAGGGACTATTTGTTTGGCTAAAAAAAAAAAAGATAATGTGTAAAAGGAATGCTTTGAAGTTTTTTGGATGAGTGTAAAGTAAATTTAGGTGAATAATTTTTTTTATTTGATTTAAAGTAAAATAAATAGTGTAAAATTTCAAGATGGTAGCGACCGGGGGTGACAATGGTGGTGATCCGTGGTTGGAGGTGATGGTGGCAGGTGGCGGTGGTGGACAGCTACGACCGATGGTGGCCGTGGTGGTGGTTGTGGTCAGTGGAATGTGGCAGTGGTGGTGGCTGGTTGTAGGGGCAGTGATGAAGGCCTACGACGGTGGCGGCGATGGTGGCCAATAATAGGCGGAGTTGGTGGGTAGCAAAGGCCGATGGTTGTTGTCAGAGGATGGTGGAGGCAGCCGACAGTGGGTGCTAGCGTCGATCAAGCGAGCTTGCTTACAGTGTAAATTGTTATGTTTCAAAATTAGGCGATTTTTGTTTACCACAAAGATAAACTAGACTGCTTTACACTACTTTACTTTACTCTACTTTTTATTTCAATCAAATATCAAAATTTTTAAAACTTCTACATTTGAAATACTTTACAACACTTTACATTTCAACAAAATAGCCCCTTAATTATTGAGAGATTATTACGTGCGGAGTCTGGACCCACAGAAATAATTCAGTTTTGTGTCTGTGAACAATAAAAACGCAGTGGTGAACATTAAATGTACTTTTACTGTTCACAGTCACAAAACAAAATGATTCCCCGAGTCCGGACTCCATACATAATAAGCTCTCTTAATTATTAGGCTTCTTTCCTTAGCAAAAGCTAACATTTTTTTTAATAGTATTGATTAAATACAATAAAGCTTTTATTACTAAAGGAAAATTATCACTCTGATTACATCATTTTTGTCACAAATTTTGTTTGAATAACACCTTTCACTATTTTGCACAGTTGAGTAGATCACCAACCTTGACTTATTTTAGTTATTTTAAAGGAAAAGAAGTATGTCTCCTTCCACCAATTGCTATATAAAATTAATGCTAACATCACTTATGCTTTTGTGGTTAAGGGATTTTAATGACTCCTTAAGACTTTATTTGGGAGAGTTTTCTATTTACTTTATTTTTAAGACAATAATCATAATTTTATTTGGCTACCACTTTTTATTATTTTCTCACAATTTTTTTTTTAATTTTTATGATAGGAAGCTGCTTATTATAACTAGAATAGCTAAATTATTTTTCCAGTAACAATTTCCCATCTAACTCAATTTAAATGTTATATTATACACATCTTATTTAAAAAAATTGAATATGTTATTGCATAATATTAATTTTAAAAATTTTATTTATTAAAATACTACTAAACTTTCAAGTCATAATAATAGTTATTCAAAAATAATTATAATAAAGTTAAATTTATTTGATAAATAATTAATGATATTTATTAATTTTAAAATGAAATTTAAAATTTATTTGTTTAACAATCAATTCATAGTTTTTTCAGTGCAACAAACAATAATAAATATTATTATTAGTTATTATTTTCATTCCCTTGCAATGCACAGTACATATATACTAATAAAATTTTAATTGAAAAAAATATTATTTTTATTTTTATTTTAAATACTGAGTATTAAAAGATAAATTTAATAGAACATGAGACATAAATTTAAAGTATTTCAATAACTTATAAAATATTTGCTAACTAAACTAATTATTTAAAAATTTTATTTTGCATCTCTGCTGGAATATTAATGCTTAAGACTAACCAAATTCACCTACAAATTGTTCACTGTTTTTTTTTTTTAATAATATTTTCTAATTTTTATTTTTACAAATTGGTCACTGTTAGATGCTTTTATGTTAAATTATAGGCAAACTTTTCTAATAAATTATGAATAATGAGCAGAGCCGAGCTTGAG